GAAGCTTTACCACCATCATCCAATCAAGATAGTTTTTATCATGGTGACTAATGATCTTTATGCAGCAATTTTAAGATGTAATATATATGAATATATTTGATATGTGTATCTTTGGTAACCTGTCAGTTTATGATAAATTCACAGAAATGGAATAATAGTAAAAAGATGATAGTCTAACTTTTGATTCCTTTTCCTAAGATTGTTTCAATAACTTTTATTCTCACAGCTGAGTGGCTGTTTTTCCATATCACAGCTATTTTAAATACCAGACAGTTGAAAAGTGCAATCTCTGATGTGAGCTAGCATATTTCTGAATCAGTAAGACTTGTTGACTGTGATTGTATCGTCTGAGGGTAACAGAACTATATTTTTAATATAGTTTTATTTGTCCATTTTTGCTTTAATTATATTTACATTTCAGCATATATGTAAGTCATAGCTTAGACTCTTTCCTCAATATTTTGGAGATGTGGACAGTGTCTTCTTCACTCCCAACTGCTATTACCTTCCCTATATCTTTCTCACATATCAATAGCAATTGATTTCAACTCTTTTTCTTTAGCTCACAGTTCATAGATTATCACTTTGTTCACTAGTTTTGATTTTATAAGTTTCTTTTGCTGTTTGGCTTTGTTGACTTCACCTGAAAAAACTTCAGCTCTGCTTGCAAATACCCAAGAATCTTAGTGCAGGCATAAGAGAGACTCAGCACCTGGTAGTCCTCACCACACAGTAAAGCCTGCTAGTTCATTGGTTTTGGAGTCTCTGGCTTACACACTTGTGAGAAAAGAAACTTGGTTTTTATCCATCACCCAACCTCACATATTTCGTTATAATAGCACAGACATACCAGTTTCAGAGGGATTTCAGTTTATCAGGGCAGGAAGGTATGGTAGATTTCACAGTGACAAGAATTTATGGCAGAGAGCAAACTGTAGAACTGGAACCAGGGCTCTAACCTCTGAGATCTACTCCTAGTAACTTAACCTCCACCAGGCAGACCCTGCTTTTTTAACAGCTCCAAAGCCTTCAAAATAGTTCCACAAGCTAGGGACCAAGTGAAGGCTATTTCAGATTCAAACCATAACAAAGACCCCATAGCTAAATAATTTGATATTGGGGTGAGGGCCTAAACATGCAAGTTTGGGTATGATGCTAAGATTCAGCAGTGTGGTGATTTGAATTAGGACTGATTACATATTGCAGTTATTTGAACACTTGGTTCCAGGTGGTGGGACTGTTTGGAGAATTCAGGGAACAGTCATGATGGAAGAGCTGTGTCACTAGGGGTGGGCCTGCAGATTAAAAGCCCTGGCCACTTCCAGTTCACCCCCTCTTCTTTGTGCTTCTAGTTGAAGATATGAGCTCTTAGCTTCTTATACCAGCCATGAGGCCTGCCCATTGCTGCCATGCTTACTGCCATGATGGACTCTTATCTCTCTGGAACTATAAACCAAAGTAAATGCCTTCTTCCATAAATAGCCTTGGTCACGATATTTTGTCACAGGAACAGAAAGGCAATGAATACAGGTGGAAGTAGCAGGTTAGTAGCATGTTAGGTTTGTTGATTGATAGGAAAACTGCTGTCCTAACTGTAGGAGGCAGTATATTTATGTAAGGAAACAAATCTGCTAGCTGTGCTTGGACTACCTGTTGACATATATTAACTCAAAACAATGTCCAATTAAAAAGTAATCAAAATTACAGACTTATTCTCAGCATGAGCTTTTTTAAAATTTTTAATTTCATTTTACATTTCAACTACAGTTCTTCCTCCTACACCTCCTCCTGCCCCTCCCACTGTCTCCTCCCACCCACCTCTCACAGCCTACCCCTAGTCCACTCCTCCTCACAAGTAAGGGCTCCCATGAGGCGTCAACATAGGCTGGCACACTAGGCTGGAGCATGGCCAGGCCTCATTCTCATGCATTAAAGCTGAACATGTATCCCACCAAAGGGAAGAGGCCCCAATAACCTAGCTCATGTACCAGGTTCAGCATGAGCTTTGGTCATCCTTATCTTACCATGTAGTGACATTCAGGACAGTGACTTGTCAAACCTACCCTTTTGGTTTGAAGGTGCTATTACATGTTGTAGGCTACCCTTGAGCTTCTAGTCCTCCCCTCTCACCTGTCCAGTGCTGGGACTGTAGACACCAGCTCTCCAAAGCGATCTCAACAATATTATGATATATGTCAAATTTTTAATGCCTAGCCTCCAATTTGAAAATTTACAGTATATGTATGAACATTTTCTATAGATAAGCTTACCAGTAATTTAAAATTAATTACTGCAAATTTCAAATGACCTTCAGTTTTAGTTGCTACCTAAAAATCTCCACATGTTATCAATAGTGCCTTTTGAAATTATGAAATTATATATTGTATCTCACATATGGTAGTGAGACCCAACTATATCCTCTAGTCTTAATTATAGGAAAAGTATAGACAAGTATAAGGCTTGGCTTTATTGTTTTATAAATGAACCAGTAAAGTTCATGTCAGTGAAATGAGCATATACTTTTCATAAATTAAAATAAATCTCACATGGTAAAGTACCCATATTCAAAATTAATTTAATTACATGTTTAAAGTTTAATTACATTTAATTAAGCATTTAAGTTTAATATGAAATAAATGAATTATCAGTTAACTACTATGAAATGAAATACTGTCTTGGTAATTAAACTCTATAAATTTTCCTATTCTGTGTAAAACTGCTAGCTTTCAAAAAACATTCCAGCAATTATACATTTTAATGACCATTTGACTACATCCTCACAGTTCATCAACATATAGTTTTTTGGTCAGTCAGCTTGGTGAGCTGCATATTTCTGGCAACTTAGAGGTTTTACAAACATGGTTTTGGCTGTTACCTTAATGTACTGGTTGCTGAGATCCTTTAATACAGTTCTTCATGTTTGTGGTGACCCCCAACCATAAAACTGTTTTCACTGCTACTTCAAAACTGTAAAGTTGCTACTGTTATGAATCATAATGTAAATATCTGATATGCGACCCCCATGAAAGAGTAATTTGATCCCAAAGGGGCAGTCACACATAGGGTGAGACCCACTGCCTTTAGTGATTTACAATTTTCAACAACAGTAAAGTTGCCTAGCGCCTCTGACCTCTAGTTCCCATTTTCTACTCAGCTCAAAAAGCTGCTGGTAGAATTAAATTAATTAGGCTCTGGTTAAAAGCCTGACCAGTCCTCCTTCTTAGTCAAATGCCTAAAGTTGGCTTCTTCTTCGCTTTAAGTGAATTTTCTGGCATAAAATGTTTGCTCTTCAAACAGTATAGAATTATTGCCACCATAGATTTCTAAGTTAGAAATAACTTTGAATGCCAGTATTATCACTTTTTTGCGCACATGCTTGTATTTAGTTCAAATACAGTCAAAGTTGGGAACTACTATTAGTTGACATAATGATTCAAAATTAACAATAATAAAAGTAATATAGGTAAATATGTTATTTCTGTTTCTTAGCCCCTAACTTTCATGTGAGGATACTGACTTCACTGATTTCGAGGGAGGATCCCAAGAGCACAGCAGGATGAAGCCAGTTCTAGAACCATGTTCTCATTCCTTCATTAGTACTGTTTTGTCTGCAACCAAAAAATAAAAATGGCAGACACCAACGCCTTCAAAAGGAATGAAGCACAAAGAAAGAAATACAACATGTTATTCCTGGCTCCATCATTCACTGAGACCCTGCAAGATCTGTGTATGTCAGTATTATTTAATTATATAAGAATTATACAGAAATATTTAATTATATAAGGATGACAGGAGGTGATAAATGCAAAGGGCATAGTAGTATACCTAACACATAGTAGAAATTCTTTAGCATAGCCTTAAAATTAAAGAGTACCCACATGACATTTTATGTCTCTGACTATAGATTAGAGAAACTTTAACCAATGAAAAAAACTGAAAAAGACTTAAGTTGACTAATGTTGACTAAATCTGCAGGTATTATTTCTAGAACAGAAGAAAACATTTAAATAATTTAACCACACAACTTTCTGTCTATAAACTCTAATAATTTACTTTTAAATGATTTGTGTGCTAAAGAAAATACAAGCTACAATCTGTTCAGTAGCTTACTGCAGTAAGAACTCAAAGTAAGTTTTCTTAATATCTTAAAAAAACCAATTTTTTAAAATATCAAGTCTGTAACTTTCAGAATTCTGCTTTAATAAATTTTTGTCACTATAAACAGGTTAGGTTGCTTAATAAAGTTCTACCTCTAAACTATCTTGCCACTTAAATTACAGAGTATTTTATTTACAGCATCACTAAAAGCATAATGTCTTAATATAAATGGGATATTAAAAATATAAAGTGAAAAATGTAGTTTGGTTGTCAAGAGTGTTTGCCTTGCATGCCCAAAGCCCTAAGTTCAAGCCCCAGTATTGTATAAAATCAAGTATAGTGGCATATACCATTAACCCCAGCATTCTAGAGACAAGACTAGGAAAATCAGAAATCTCAAGGCCATAATTGGACATATAGTTTGAATTCAGACAGGACTCAATATTAAAAAGAAATGAAAATAAGTAACATATACTTGCTTAACCTTCAGAAGATCACTTTTACTCAAAAGTATTAGCAAGCAGCAGTGCTTTAGATGTTTTTCTTGAATTAATTACATCAAAGAATTTGTGCATTGTGGGTTGAAGCCCTGATTTATAACTGTTTTACATTTTCTGGAAAGTAAAATCAAATGGAATTGTAACTAGCTAGTGTATAATGTGTAATCTATTACATTATAAACCAATAGATTGTGTACAGAACCAGGAAAAACAAAACAAAACAAAACAAAAACCAGCATATGATGAGATATTACAAAATACATGTATAATTTCTTATATATTTGTAGAAAATTAACATTATTGGGCTATACCATTGCATATGAAATCTTCAAAAATGAGGTAAAAACATAATATACTGATACTTGAAGTCTGAATTTGTTGTTACACCAGCTGTTGACTTACCAGGATTCTCCTTTAAGATCTGAAGTTACATGTTCTGGGAGGAAGAATCCATGCCATTTTGAACTTCCTAGTAGCTCTTGAGGAATCCTTTTTGATACATCATAATAGTGACCAAATCGTGAAGATGACACAGGTCCAACCTGTTGGAAAATCATGCTGGTTATTAAAACTACATTATTTTACACTATAATTTCTTTATCTTACATCAAGCTACTGAAGAAAAGGTGATATACGCTTACTGAATTTAAAGACCCATATAATAAATAGCCTTTATTAGCCAAACTATATACAGTGAGGAATTAAACTTTCTACTCTCAAGTTTTTTCAGTGTTAAGTTTATAAAAATTCATATACCTCTTTCATTTTAAAACTATCTTGAACATCTCTTTTTCTAAGTTAAAAATTCAACATATATAATTCTTAATTCATGTATAATAGCTCACATTTTAATGACAAATCAAATAAGGAGTTGCAAGAACTAAATGAAGGTAAGCCAAATTAATTCACTGATTGGAAGCCCCAATAGAAATCAACTATTTAGATGTGTTTAACTGAATTGAAACTAAATGCTCATAGGACAATGTGTACACATGTACAATATTTCTTATAAACTTTAATAAAGCTGATGGTATAAAATGTACCACAGTCCAGATAGGATTAAGGCATGTGTGAGAGTAAAAGGATGCATGGAAACTATGTGAGACCATCAGAAACTTGACAAGATCATTAGTTCATAGTTTTACATTCTTTATTAACAGTTTCTCTAAGAAACCGTCTTTCTCTTAGGAAACTACTAACTATTGGCACTGAATTTATTTACATATGTGAGTAAAAAAATCTATTAACTATTGTTCTGAATGGAATATAGGCTGATTTTAATGAATATATTCCCTGCCCCCATACCCTTTTATATAAAGCTGAACTATTAACAAATTTCACCTGGCAACAGCTTCCCATAAAAGCTCTGGTATGGTCTTTATTATGACCATTCCTGAGTGCTAAGAAACTGTCAAACTTGGGGATGCTCAAAATACATAATGTCTCTGCAGAAACATGAGAACTCCTAGGTTCTTATCTTACAGAATGACATTTTTAAAATTTAGTTAAACATATGTTTGCTTGACACCAGCTATTTGCATTTAAGATTTCAATTATTCATATTCCTAAATTAAATGTCTATAAACATCAAATTATACAGTCACATGAAATAAAACATTCTGAAGTCTAATAGAAGCATTTTTCTTAGATTTGAGTCTGTGGGTGTGACATTTATTTTCTAAATAAAATGAATGTGCATCTCTCCATAAGGTACTATTTATTTTCATTAATGAAAGACATCTATTAGTTGGCTTCAATATAATCTTTTCAATGCAATAATAATATGTGCAGAATTATGGTTCCTAAGACACATTCTCCATTTATTATGATAAGTATTGACAAATAAATTATATGACATTAAAATAAGTTTCTTAAAAATACGTTGTAAAGGTTTTTAAATGTAAAGTTATTAGTCTAAAGCAATTTAAACAAGGTCTGTTCTTTGGCCTATAATTGATTCTTTATCCGGATTATAGTTCAGAATGTTTTTACTGCAATCTCTGCGAGAGCTCATCTTTTTATTGTGTAAGTCCAAGCCCTCTTAATGTTTCAGAAAGGCCTTGACTAACTGAACTTTGATCTGATGTCTTCATTGAGAAAAACACCAGGTTGCCCATTTCAGATGCAAATCCCTCTAAGGCCCAATAGAATTTAGTAAAGACAGCAAAAAAGAAGAAACCAGAAGTTTCCAGGATCCTCTTTGGGAATCCTGGGGCACACTGGTGTCCCTAATCCATGCTACTGCATGGATTAAGGTAGGTGATAACCTTTCCTGATTCAAAAGAATAAGCTGAGTGCCTACAAACTGGGTGGAGACTAGGATTTGGCTATAATAAAACACCATGCAATAAAAGCTTGGTCTATGTCAGAAGCCTCTGAAAAGGCCTCAATGTACCACATTCCCAGGCCTGGTAGGGAAGCTTGCAAAAGCCTACCTGAATCAAATAAGCATGAATAATCTATTTTAGCAGACTGACCATGGGGAGAGAGAAAGAAAGAGAGACTTTTCACTTCTTTTAAGTTTGAGTTAATAAATTTATTAGTGGATTGAAAGTTCTTGAAGTCCCATGCACTCAGAGAAACACACCAAACTACCAAAAAGCAAGGTATGCTTTTTAAGTTGCCGTCACTATTAATGTTTTTAATTATAATATTAGTGTGACAGAATTCCCAGATTTTGGATGAATCAAGGCAGAAAATTGATTTTATGCGGTGACAGTTTACATATAGGACACAAACAATTCATTAAAATGTAAAAATAAAACTGGAAAGTTTTCTTACTATAATTAACTGATTAAGATGTCAAGACCAAACATGACAGTAAAAATCTCGATAAGGTAGATTCAAAGCTTGCATTACTGAAGAAAGATTTCAATCTTTCAATAAAAGGAAAAGAAAACAAAACAAATATATATTTTTATGGGATAAAAAATTTTTCCATTTTTTCTGTCCAAGACACATAATATTAGCAGACAGTCAGATTTTGGAAGTACTGAACTCTTTTCAGACCTAGAAGTTTCCTTTGAAAATGAAAGCTTACTGTTGTTACTCTAACAGTGTTTATCTATAAAGTATCATTGTCATAAAAATCAAATTGCATTCTATATCAACCTATCATGAAAAAGAGGTTCACTTATTTCACATGCTAAAAACATGTTGCTTTAATTTTACATATGACAAGTTTTGTTGCACATCCATAAACTACTTTTAACTTTACCATCTGTGGAATAGAGAAAAATAGATGTAAGTTTTTACTGTGCTAAAAAATGAAATCTGATGGGAGTTGAGGAGGAAAGCTGAGCAACAAAACAACAGCACACTCCAACACCACCACACTACATCCCTACTGTGTTAGGAAGCAACAAACTGCAGAGAAAACACACAAATAGTCTCCATAAGATATGGCTCACCATTGTTAGCAAGTCTTGTTTCTCAGAGTCTGGCATAACAGACAGACAGCAGGAATCTAACCACTCACTAAACCATTCAGAGCCTCAGTTCACTAGAACAGTATTAATCATGATTTTATTATGCTCTCAAAATAATCTATGCAATATTGGTAATTAATATTTTATTAATTTGAACATAATATAAATATCAGTATTGCAAAATTATGATTTATTAGAGAATCAGAAAATTTATCATTGTCTTTTGCTCATGGGAAAAAATTTGTTGCATACTGACATATTCACATGTCTATCAGAATTGTGGATAAACCCCTAATTATAACAAGAATCTGATATGCTGCCATGAATTGTTGTGGACTTGTTGGTACTAGAGTCCTACAATTCTGGGGTGAAATCCAGAATGCACTGCAGGCCAGCAATCTGTAGGGTGAGGAGAGGGCAAGTCCACCTATGATAAAGAATCTGAATCATTGGCGAGACAGGAAGGACTCTTAAAACTAAATATTCTTTAGCTTGAGTGAAACATGTATGCATTACTAAGTGCCTGACTTCTATATTCACATCCTTGTCATTTTTCATATTCCCCAAGTAGATTAGGACTACACTTGCTAGATTTGGTAACAATTTGCATTAAAGAGCATCTCTGATAATCAATATACCTCATTTTGGACTATTTTTACTCCTTTACTCTTAAACCAAAATAGTAGAATTGCATTTTGTTCAAGGAAATACAGAAAGCTAAATGTTTTTGTTTTATTTTTGCACTGGGAATTGCAAAATGATGTATAGACTTAGAAAAAAGTGCTGGCCAAAGATCATTGGTATAGGTTAGTCACTAACATAAATTATTGTGGGACAAAAAAAAGAAAACAAACAAATAAACTGAAGAAGCCAGACATGATTTTTATTTTAAAACTGGAAGCACACACTTGTAAACAGAGGCAAACTTAAATTTGACCACTGATAATAAAATAAAAAGAATGTCTACATATGTAGTATTAATTATAAATTATTACCACTTAATTTACTCACTAATTCATTTTATGGAACATATACTACATATCAATAAAGCAAAACATTTTATTTCCCTTCCCGAGCTCACATCTTATCTTTTTTTTTGGGGGGGGGTAGGTGGGCAAGGTCTCTCTGTAGCTTTGGAGGCTGTCCTGGAATTAGCTCTGTAGACCAGGCTGGCCTTGAACTCACAGAGATCCACCTGTCTATGCCTCTCGAGTGCTGGGATCAAAGGCGTGCACCACCACTGCCTGGCCTGAGCTCATATCTTAAAATAGACACAAGATAAGCACTAAAATGGATGTATGATTCCCAACTTTAAATAATGTCTTGAAGAAAATAAAGCCGTGAAAGAGCAAGTAATATTTCATGTATAGTGAAAAAAGAAACCACTGTAGATAATATAGCATCTCAGCAGGAAAAAAATAGAACACTGAATAAAGAGGAGAATATTCTAAGTCATAATTTACAAAGAAGCATTAGAAGCCCCAGGTAAGACCTGGTGTTGGGCTGGAATATAGCTCAGTGATAATGCTTGCCTAGCAAGTATGAGGCCTTAAGTTCTGTTCTCAACACTGTAAAACAATGACAACAAAAGCAGCAACAGCAACAAATAAAGACCCTGGACACCAGCCCAGGCCTCTATAGGTGCACACACAGTGTGAGGTAAGGACGAATAGAGTCTATTCTTAACAGAAGAGGAGTGAAAGAACATCCCAAATTCATAAAAAAGGAGAAGTGTGAAGGAAAGGAAGGCTGGCACAAGCACAGGTACTAAAAGATCAACTATCCTCTTGCAGAAGAAAATACAGGGAAGCAACCATTGGCAACCAGCCATTACCCCCTGGGTCCATACTCAGAATGGGGTAAGTGGTGGCTGACAAGAAAGAACTGTCCTTTCTTCAGCCAGAGTGCTGTAAGAGACCGGTAGCCACAGAAAGGCTGAGTGGTAGGTGAATAACCACAAGCTGTGAACACCCTGAGCAGAGGGACAGGCAGGGAGGACAGATGCTGGAGCAGAAGTCATGTAAGGCAAACAATGCTGAGAACATCCACAACCACCCTGGGGTGAGGGCAACTACAGAAGACCTGGGAAACACCACCTCTGCCATGGTCTATGC